TCTTTCTTCCTCAATATTTATTCTCTCTGTGCACGTTTCGCTTCAAACATCTCAAAAAAGAGAAATGGAGATATCGGAACGCGCAACGCGCGCTACATCGATCGTTGGACGACGATCGATTTTGAAAATTCACCGTTTTGTCATTAACAACGCTCTACTATCAAATCACGAGCAAGTGGAAGATCGCATCCCACTCGCTTCCCATGGACGCATCGTCTTGGACGTGCACATTCGTCTTCGTACACGTTCCGTTACTCTCTCTCTCTCTCTCTCTCTCTCTCTCTCTCTCTCTCTATCTGTGTATTTTTTTCTTTCTCTTTCGCTGTCTCTCGCGATTCGATGCTTTCCATTGGCGTGGAAAAAAAACGTCGTGCGACTTTCTCTCTACATCGTCGCCATTGAACGAGTTGTCCTATCTATCTATCTATCCACCCTACTCCGCCACTTCTGGAGGTCACGCGTTGTCCGTTAGGTTGGATTGGCTGGTAGTACGGGTCACTTGCTATTCACCGAGTCGACTATAGTGCCGCTATAGTTATCGATCGCACGCAGATACGCTCGCTTCATTTCGTGCCACATCTCAAGCCCAAAGAGGCGACGTTTCGCGACACTCGCTCGTTCGCTTATTTCACCCTCGTTGCTCCCTCGTTCCTATACACGAGTATACCCGTAACTGTCGAACGGACAGCGCCGGCTTCAATTTTCCCGCTCTTTCCCGCAACGGACCGCTACACTTGTACATATATACACGCACCCATCGTATCGGCTCGATCACTTTCGCCCAGGTGTCACCGTGTCACCGTGTATATGGGTCACACAATTTGACCCGTGTCGCGTCGCGCAGATGTCGCCGATGCATCGATGCACTCTTCTTCCAAGAGGATTTTCCTTTTTTTTCGCGGGGCAAGAAAGAAAAAATATCTCATTCGACTCAGTTCCCCGCGCAAAGGCGCGCTCTCGTCGTATACCGTCGTGTATACCAGTAACACTCGCAACTCGCGAGCACTCCGTTAATCGTGGCTAGTCGACTCGACTGGCTCGGCTGACTCGGCTCGGCGCGGCTCGGCGTGGCGCGGCGCGGCGCGACGGCCGATCGCGGCGGGTCCTCCGATGTATACCTGTCTGCCTGTCCGACGTAGTGTGCCGCGAGTAGTCATGCATGAAAAAAAAAGAATCACGTGCACGTACGTACACACATACACATCACGCACTCGCGAATACTACTCGAGTGAGAGCGCAGGAAGAGGTGGGCCGCGTAGCGCGTACATTCGAGAAAAAGTGTACCGCGGGATACTATTTGTACTTGCGTATTATCGGTGCACGCGCGCGCGCACGCACGCACGCACGCACGCACGCACGCACGTACGTCCGTACGTACGTACGTCCGTCCGTCCGTCCGTCCGTCGTTACATATTACACGTA